ATAGTTCACGTTAATATAATTAAAATATTATATATTATATAATATTTTAATTTATAATTTCACAATAATAATATTAATAAATATATTATATTTTATACGAGCAGCGGCGCAACGGGAAATTACCCGGTATCCTGGTCGTCCAGTCCGCCCCTGGCATTTTCTATACACCATAAATTCTTCAACATATTTTGACTTCTTTTATTTTTTATGACTTTAGAGTTGTTAATAATAAAAAAAATAATGAAGCATGTGTATTTATCGGGTGCAGAGAAAAAGAAAGCAAAAAATGAAAAAAAACTGAAAGAAGAAAAAGGAAAACGTAATTTACATAATTTTGGTTGGTGTACGTCAAGTAGGAACTTGGCTCAAAATTATATAAACGAGCAAAAATGTGATATTGATGACCCCGAAGTATTAGAAAATGAAAAAGCCCTAAATATTCATATAGGAGAGTCCAAAAAAAGTAAAATTGATGATACAGTTGTTCCATATCCAAAAGAAATTAATGAAAACGTTGTTAACACACAAAATAATGAGGTAGTTGAATGTGTACAAATGAACGAGAATGAAAGTGTAAAGGAATTAGATAAAAATGTTATTGACAGAAATATAATTTGTTCCAAAAGCATTATTGAAGCTAATTCTAACAAACAATCTGACGAATTGTTTAAATTAAGTAACGATCCAGCAACTTGGAAAAAACTTAGTTCGTCAGATCGCGACTATTTAGCTGCAGTTGGTCCACCTACTATGCCATCAAAGATTCCCCATGATAAACATGAGAATCGCTCTTTTCCCATCTCACTTTTACAAAAAACCTTACCAAATAAAGAAACAATAAATCGCGACTGGCTTGTATGGAGTACACTAAAAAATGCTTTATTTTGCTTTCCGTGTTGTCTTTTTTTAAGAGATGATGAATTTGAGCCATCGGGTTTATGTAGAAATGGTATTGGAAATAATTGGAGAAAACTTTATGACAAGATCGATAACCACGAAGGGAATACGAAACACATAGAAAGATATTTATTATGGAAGGACTTGGTAGAAGCAATAAATGGTAGGAAAGGGATCGACAAAGATTTGCAAGTTTCTATTAACACAGAGAAAAAAAAATGGAGAAAACTCCTTCGGGTATTAGTAGATATCACATTGTTTTTAGCAGAAAATAATTTGCCATTTAGAGGCATACACTCAACGATCGATCATGATGAATGTGGGCTTTTTATTTAAACTGCAAAATTAGTTAGTCATTACAGCGAAACAATGAAAAATCATTTGGACACTATTAAGGAATATAAAGACAGTGGTAAAAAAATGTCTGCTCACTATCTATCTCCACGAAGTCAAAATGAGTTTTTGGAAATTTGTGCCAAAAAAGTTCAACAAAAAATTATTGAAGAAATAAAAATATGTCAATATTATTCAATTATTGTAGACGGTACTCCAGACGTGTCACACAAGGAACAATTGGTATTCGTTATAAGATATGTTTTTGAAAATGCTGGGACTTGGGATATACAAGAACGATTTCTAACAATGGTTGACTATGAAAAAAAAACAGGAGCTGATATTGCAAACAAAATAGAAGAAATTTTAGTTGAATGCAATTTAGATTTAGCACTATGCAGGGGTCAAGGTTATGATAATGCAGCAAATATGTCTAGCAAATACAACGGCGTGAAAAGTAAAATAATAGAGAAGTATCCTCAAGCTTTGTTCTCACCATGTAGTGCTCACTCTTTAAATCTATGTGGAGTACATGCGATGGAAACCAGCCTAGAAGTAAAAACATTTTTTGGAAACATTCAAAAGCTATACAACTTTTTTTCTTGTAGTCCATCAAGATGGAAGATACTTCAAGAAACTGCTGGTCTTTCACTACATTCAATATCAACTACTAGATGGAGTGCCAGAATTGATGCTGATAGTCCATTATCTAAAAATTATTCCAGTATTCTAAATTCACTTGATCGTGTTAAAAATAAAATTAATCTACCTGCAGATAATCAAGCAGAAGCAGTTGGTCTAATTTCATGGTTACATTCCTTTGAATTTATATTGTTAACAAATATCTGGTACAAGATTCTTCAGTGTATTGATGATCGTAATAAAATTCTTCAAAGCAAAAAAACTTCAATAGATGAAAGTTCGATGCATTTTCAACAATTAGCTACAGAAATTCAACAGATAAAAGTCTCTTGGAATGATTTATTACTGGAGTCTCAATCAGTAGCTTCCGCTTTGAATTTAACGACAGAATTTAGATTAACTTCAAGAGTTCGAAGAAAAAAACATTTTCACGATGATATTTTAGATGAACAGCCTTTCCATGATATTGAAAACAAATTTAAAGTTGAAGTGTTTGTAACCGTATTAGATAGGCTTTTATCAGATATTTATGGTATTCAAGCAAGTATGGAGAAAATAACAAGCACATTTTCTTCAATAATCAGTCCACCAGATACAGAAGAACCAAGTGCTGAATATTTCAAGGCTCAAGCTGATATAATTTCAAGTGTATATCCTAATGACGTGTGTGCTAATGTATTAAAAGAGGAACTACGAATTTATTTCAAAATACACAAAGTATCAACAATTATTTTTAACGATAGCGAAATTGCATCGATTTCTATTCTTAATCAAATAAATAAGAAAGGACTTCAAAATATACTACCTCAAATATGTATTTGTCTTCGAATACTTTCTACCATTCCCACGTCTGTGTCAACGGGAGAAAGATCTTTCAGTAAACTGAAATTAATAAAAAGTTATTTACATTCAACTACAGAAGAAAACCGCTTAAATCATTTAATACTTCTCTCCATCGAACACAAGTTGGCAAAGACTCTAGATTATGATGATGTTATAGACAGCTTTGCTGAAAAAAAAGCTAGGAAAAAGGTGTTCTGATATACATTTTAATATTTTATTTAAAATAATAAAATAATATACGTAAATTTTTTTTAATTTTCATAATCTACCTTATCTATTTATTTAATCCTATTAACATCCAAGTTAATATTTTTCCTTGAATATTTATAACTATCTAGGAATAAATTGTAGTTTTTTGTATACATGGTAATACATTGCTAATAATGTATTGAATAATATTAATATAAATAACATGAATAATATTCAATTCTATTATGTAAGTATGTAATGCTATAGGTACATGAATTTAAATGAGCTTGATTGGTTAAGGTTTGGAAAAATACGTTTATAAACATTTTGTTATTCTCAGTGAGTATTTTGTTTATCATATCTTATTATTATGGTTGAAGGGCTCCCAAATTAATTTGCCCCTGGCCCCGAAAACCCTTGGGACGGCCCTGCTTAAAATTACCGGATCAAGGAAGTTGAATTTGTACACAGGAATAAGGAAGATGAATTTAGTTATATGGGGGGGCGGATGTCTTGGTGGTCGGAATCGGTTTGGTGCAATGACCACCAAGCTTACATAAATTGGCGAATACTTAAATCTACCCTTAAGTCTACGATGATGATGATGATGATGATGATGATGTGGATGAAAGCTGCAACAAATGACAGACGACGGCGAATGGACTCGACGACCTTGGCGGCCTCTCACACACCACGGCGGGTGCTGGCGGTCTTACGCATCAACTGATGGCACCAATGATTGGAAAGCACCGTCCTGCGATGTCTGAATGACGAGCTGATGAGACGAGTTGTAGGTACACGATAGTGATACCCAACCAGAAATACAATACAACTCACGTAAATGCTGGTAATGATGGTGTTTTATTGTAATAATAAATTATACAACGGCTTCGTGTCGCACTGACTCGGCCGGTACAGAATTGTATATGTGTCGCAATGACAGAACAGGTAATAAAATTATACGATTACGCGTTGCCGCAGTGGCAATGAAACAAATAATTCCACGTTGCTCCAATAACAGCAAAAATATGAAAACAAAATGTTTAAATTCACAAACCAACAAAATAATACTCTCTTACAATTAATATATATACGACGGTGTGATATGAAAAATTTAACGGTAAAAATTAATAACAACAATAAGGGCGTTGGTCGCGTAATCACAACAACATTAAAAACAGATAATATAAACAAAAGCAATATGACGACAACGATAACAATAATAATAAATTAATTTATACAGGTGATTATAATTCACATACCTGTCGAGTAACGATTAAATGAGGATGAGGAAGAGGGAGAGAGATAAGACTGGTCGCCGCCGCTGTACTGTTTTGCATATCGCTTTCACGACAATGTGTCGCGGCAACATGCCGGCCCCCATTAAACCCTTCACGGGTTTAATTGAAATTCTCGTTGACCGGGTAATAAGCAGAGTTTGTGAATTGGTCGATTCATTTCTGTGGTTGCTGTTTTTACTGTAGCGACACGCACGAGACCATCAGGCTTATATTGAATTTTAATATCAACTTCAGTTCCAATCGTCGATTAGACAACACGTCCGTTGCGTTTACCTGTTTTATCAGTTTACTTACGTAATATTGTTCAAAGTTTAATCAGTTTGATCGCATCAGTTCGGTTTTCTTATTATAATGGTTTGAATGCTATTAGCTGTGGTGTTTGCGAGCTACAATTTAATGATCTCGACGCTCAATTAAAATGTGACAGTTGCCCGAGTCTTGTTCATCACAAGTGTTCCGGGTTATTAGCTTCTGAGATTAAATGTCTTCTTTTGAAAAATCGTAAATTAAAATATTTTTACGATTCGTGCGATAAAAGACTAAATGAATTACCGCATTTGAAAAAACTAATCAGTGCTTTGTTGGTTGAGGTTGAAAATCTTAAGAATAATTCGTGTTCTTCGAGATCTGACGAATTTATTATAAACGAAATGAAATTTTCGGGCTGCGAATGTATTATTTTATAATATTCCGGAATGTACGTCTAGTAGTATTGAAGAAAGAGTACTTCACGATAAGGAAGAAATATCTAAAATTATCAAAGGTACATCGTCCGATAACAAAAGTCTTATCAACCCAAAAACATCGCCCAATTAAAGCAATTTTCTCTTCAGCTGGTGACGCTTTCGATATATTGAAAAATAAGAAACATATTTTATCTCTCCTCCCTCCTAATTCTTCAAATATTGGTAGTAGTTCAGATTGAACACTATTTCAACGTGAACAAATGAAGAAATTACGGGATCAATTAACCGCACGCCAATCCAGTGGTGAACAAAATCTCACTATCAAATTTACTTAAGGTATACTGGGTATTGTTAATATTGATAAAATTGTAAATAATTCTCAAAATTTATAAGTTTACATGCTAATTACCAGCATGTTAGAGGTCTTTTGACCAAATTGTTTTATTTTCGTAATTGTACAAGTGTTTTTGATTGTGATTTATTTATTTATTACTCCTGACCGAAACTTGGCTGAATACTAAAGTTAGTAATGCAGAATTAGGTCTCAATAATTTTCATAATTTTCATATGGACAGAGAAAATGAACAAGAATCTAGCTGTGATGGTGTATTAATTGGTACACGATCTGGTATAAAATGTAATCGAATTGATGTACCAATTATATTAGGATCGAACAAATGTTTTTATAAATTATTTTTAGGTCCATTAAAATTTTAGTTATTTGTGTTTATATTCCTCCTAATATCAGTAGAGACATTTATTATGAACATTGCGATTTGGTTGAGAACATTACTTCAAGTAACCCTGACCATAAAATACTTATTTTTGGGGATTATAATTTAAATAATTTTGATTGGACCTCTCTAGTAATCCATCATACTGCAAACGTTGTTGTTAATACGTTTATACAATATTTACACATAAAGCAATTAAATTTTATAAAAAATAAAAATGGTAGAATTCCACATCTTATTTTTAATGATATTGATAAAATAATGGTCAATAAAGGGTGTTCTTTTGTCCCTTTAGCTGATGAACACCATCCTCCTTTAGACTTAATATGTAATTTTGATCACTTATTTGTGAATGATGGTACGAATCAATTTACTTTTTATAACTTTCTTAAATCCGATTTTTCTAATTTTTCTAAATGTTTGTCTAGTATTGATTTCAATCATTTATTGAAGGATTTGAATATTGACTCTGCTGTCAATAAATTTTATGAAATTATAAATCATTTTATTGAATTGTTTGTTCCTAAAATTAAAATATTTAACAACCAGTGTCCCTCTTGGTTTAATGCGGATTTACGTAAACTTGTAAAATTAAAAAAATTGGCTCATAGAAAATTCAAAATAAGTGCTTTACAATCTGATTATCTTGAGTTTTCCAAACTACGTAAAGAATGTAAGATTATGTCAATGCATAATTTAATAAATAATAATAATATTTAATTTAGAAAATAAAATACTATTAGAAGTAAAAAAAATTTGGAAATACATTAAACTGCTTAAATCTAATAAATCTTCCATTCCCGAAAATATTTCATATAATAATATTACGGCCAGTAGTTATAAAGAGTCTGCTCAATTATTTGCGCAATATTTCTCAAGCGTATAATCTACGTCTGATACATTTAGTAATGTATTTACTAACTATGACACTGATAATATTATTTCCAATTTAAATTTATCCTCTTGGTATATAAGTGAGAATGAAATTTTTGAAGCTTTAAGCTCACTGAATGTTTTTAGTAGTGCGGGTCCTGACTCCTGACGGTATACCGCCGAGTATTTTAATCGAATGCAAAAATGTTCTTACTGTACCTTTACATAATCTTTTTAACTTATCCTTGTCTTCTGGGTCTTTTCCAACTGTTTGGAAAAAATCATTTTTGGTCCCTATTTTTAAAAGTGGCGATAAATGTAATATTATAAACTATAGACCAATTTCTTAATTATCTTTAATACCAAAGCTGTTTGAGTCTTTAATCACAAAAAAATTATGTAATTTACTATCTAATTACATTTGTCTTAACCAACATGGATTTCGGCTTTAAAAATCTGTGTCTACGAATTTGTTGACTTACCATACCGATTTAATTAACTCCGTTGAAAATGGCGTACAAATTGATTCAGCTTACACAGATTTTAGTAAAGCCTTCGATAAAGTAAACCATTATTTACTAATAATTAAGCTACAAAGATTTGGTCTTCATGGTAATTTTGTTAATTGGTTGACATCCTACCTAACGGATAGATGTCAGTTAGTTAAGTTGTCTAATTCATTATCTAAGGTTATTTTTGTAAGTTCCGGAGTACCCCAGGGCTAGAACTTAGGGCCATTACTATTTAATTTGTTCATAAAAGATTTACGATCGGTTCTCGATTTTCCAGCCAATGTGTTAATGTTTGCAGATGACACCAAATTTTATTCTACTATTAAAAACCAAGATGATGCACTTACTCTTCAAGCTAATTTAAATAAGTTTAGTATTTGGTGTGAACAAAATAAATTACCAATTAATATTGATAAATGCAATGCTATCTCTTTCACTAAAAAAATATATCCTATAAATATTAACTATCAAATTAATAATATTAATATTAACAGAGTTGAAATGGTTAAAGATTTGGGTGTTCTCTTTAATATTAATTTATCTTTCTCTATTAATACAAATATGGTTATAAATAAATGTTTTAAAATGCTGGGTTTTATTTTACGAAATACTAAGGAATTTAAAAATGTATTTACATTGAAGATGCTCTATTGTTCTCTTGTTAGGTCATATACTGAATTTGGTTCAATAATCTTGGCTCAAAATTGGACTGATAAATTGGTTGAGAATTTCAGTATAAATTCCTTAAGTCTATAGCGTTTCGTTTAAACTTGCAAATGTCTAGAGATTTATTTTCATTATTAGCTAATTCTATTTATATTCAGCCTTGTGAGGTTAGGTGTAACGTCATGTTTATTTATGATCTTCTTAATAATTATATTGATTATTCTGATTTATTAAGTA